GTAAAAAAGGACTGGTCTTCTGATAATGGAGTAGGTGATGTTTGTTTTCTAGTTACATGTGCACTAGCTACAGTTTCCGCAGTAGGAACAGCAGGAAAAAAAGTTTTCTATATTATTCATTACTTACATATTTACATATGGGGAGGTGCTGTAAAATCTTAAATCTGATTCCCATCTCCAGTAGAAAAGGCTAACACAGGATTTCAATCATGTATAAAACTAATAAATAATTTAAGTTTTTTGTTTTCTTTTCTTGTAAACTTCCTACACTCTGCTTTAGGTGACTCATTACCACTCCCACCCCTCTTCTTGATCTCTGTTCCTCCACAAGATTAGTTTTACTTCCCTTCTGTGGTGGTAGAAGTATAGCATCTTCAAAGTTCATGCAGAATTTGTGGTTCTGATACTAAAAGCATGGCAGCTGTACTATCTTGGGAACAGATAATGCATTGTAATACTTTTTAATTTTTTTTTTTTTTTTTGAATGCATGCATGTGGTTGTTCCCCTCTAGGTATGTAATTTATGACTTGATAAAGTACTTGAGAAGGAAGTAAGTGGAAATGCCAGTTTGTTACGTTTGACTAGATTCTGTCTCTCTAACCCATACTGAACTTCTGTATGACCATTGCTTGCTATAGGCTATTCACTTTTGTATTTCTGTTTAAGTATGAATTCACACCTTGTTTAGAAAGTTAAAAAGAATATTTGAGTTTTAACTGTACTATAGCAGGCCAGCATGCCCTTTTAAAAATGAAGAAGTCCCTTTTGAATATGGCATGTGAAACCTAGTATTTCTCATTAACACATTAAATTTACTTAAGTATTTGAGTACATGCACTACTGGAATCCTAAGATACTTATTTCGTCTCCTACCTACCTCAGCCTTAACTTTTCTCCAAATTGCTTTTGTCACCTTGAAAGATTCAGTGTGGGTAAGAGTTGAAAGGAAATGAAAGAGCTCAAACAAATGAATTTCTGACAGTTATTAAGACTAAACTGTGATGTGATTATGAAAGCTTTGCTTGTGCTTTGCTTCATTTGTTTCAAAGCTTTGCTTGTGTTTTGGTTCATTTGTTTCTCAAGGACTCCTGACTTCTCAACTGTTTCCTTAGGTCTCTTTGTCTGTTTAGGTAAGATTAAAACACTCATTAAGCTCCCTATGTAAATCGCTGGTAGCAGACTCAAGGCCTTTGGTGGACACTTGGGCCACTCCTAGGATGAGATAAGGGGGGCTCGAACAAAGAGACACAGAGACCCTATGATAGGAAAGTGGTTCTGCTGATTTAGGAGAGAGACACTTGGACTTTACTTCACAGCACATGCTCTGGAAAGAGGGTCAACTAGCAAACACTGTGAAGAAGACTACTTACTTCTTCCCTCCGCCAGCAAAGACCCTCACCCTATTTTCACTACACATGCTCGGACTATGTAAATGAATTCTGGGAACTCATTATCATAAGACACCCCTTTCTAGGAAATCGAGATTTCCTAGACAATGTATGATTTGTGTATATGTAGACTGTTGTCCCTTGCTAATTCTTGGGAGCCCTTATGGTGGAGAATTTCCAGGGTTGAACCTAGTGTTGCTAATAAAAGAATACCTTCTTAACCGTTATATTGGATTCTGACTGTTGAGTTAATTTCTTTGTTTCAGAGTGTCTAACCCTGTATGTACAGAGTACTAGTCAGGAATGCCTGTGGAGTATGGTGAAGCTATTTCCTGCATCTCTGCAACAGCTGCTCAACATCTAATGTCACACATAGAGATTTTTGGGTTTTTTTCGGAAAATGCAGGGATAAATTGATATTTGTTGCATTCCTTTGGTTTTCTGTTTTGTGATTGTGCGCAACCCCTAGTTTAGTGGAATAAATGAGAACTGGGGAAGCCACAGACTATTATGCAGAATACATACACAGACTTTGAAAAGCCTCTAAAAGGAGTGGTGGTTTGTGCAGATTTCTTGGCAGACTTGTATGGCATTGAGAAGTCTTTGGTCTTTGCTTTCCAAAGGCAGGATTTCCTGTGTGTTAGCTGGCTGGAATTTTGACTGCATACTTATAATTTCCTTCTAGACTGTTAAAATATTTGGTTAGAGCATCAGTCCCAATCAAGTTGCCTCTGTATCACCTGTTTTATAAAACTACTTGCTTTAAACCATGCGCATTTCCTCGTAGAGCTGTTGGTGAATATGAAATTTGGACATGTAACCAAAAGGTTCTTTGTAGTTCATGACTTTTTAATCTTTGCTTTCTAATAATTTTTTCCTAGTCTTAGGCCTTCTTGAAAATGAAATGATCTAATTATTGTTTCACTGCCTAGAAGCATCAGTTAGGTGGGGCTTTGCTGTGACAGTACGTGTAAGGACAACTCATTTTCTCACTGTTTGCATCTTTCAGATGTGCATTCTGGGAATTTTCTACACATCACAGCAATTTTATTAGTAAATAATACCTTAATATCTTAGGTAGTAAACTCTTTTTGGGACTATATGCAGTTTAGTTTTTCATGGATGTTAACTTTGTATAAAAATAATAAGCTCTATCAGTTTAGGTTAATCAATATTCATTATACTATGCTTTTTGTTTATTTTCTATATAGTAGCTGCAGTCATGAGGCAGGAGGCTTTTGTGAAAGATGTTATTAGCAACTAGCTCTGACAGGTTATAGTACAAGATGACAAACTTAATGCACTTGTCTTGATCTTGACAGGACTCCAAATTCAGTTATGTTGTTCATCACGGGTTACTTGGTGTCTTCATTATCTGTTGAAATAACTTTTATGTTTTACTAAAACTGTCTCAAAGTAGACAAAATTAGTCATAACTTCATGCATGAGACAACTGAAAGTCCATTTTACTGTTATTTCTGTTATGAATTGGATCTTCCCGATTTATGAATTATTGATGGGTTTGAACCTTGTATTCTATGGATGTTGTAGTCTATTATGAAAGAGAATAGACAGTAGTGTGTTTCAAGAAAAGTATTTAAACACATCTCATGGGCCTTTTATTTCCCTGGAAAATGGGAAGTAATTAAAAAATATTTTAAACAAGGGATAGAGAAGCTGGTAATATAAATGTTACCATGTATTGACAAAAATTTTATTTTGGGAACTTTGTGTCTAACCTGATGTATTTTTGAAAGCAGCATGCTAAGACTTATTTGAAGGGCTTTAAAAGGGGTGAAAACCCCCTTTATTTCATTATTTTATTGGAGAACCTGGAGGTCTCTTCTACTGTTTGACTTACAGAAACAATAGAAGCTTGCTTAATTGGAAGAGATGCATAGCTGTTGGCTTATTTCTAGTGTTTTCTTCAAAATAATTGAAAGCAGATCTGAAGTGAAAAGGAGCTCTTGCCAAAGATCTGCAAATGTAAATTTTGTTCAAGACAAAATAAAAGCTTTTCTGCAATCTTCTTGGTGAACTTTAGTGGTTTCTGTCAGTCAGAAACGCTGTCTAGGCTTGTTATAGGTAAGTGCTGCATAAATAGGAGAGTGCAAACAAATTGGTACGGATTCATACTGATCTCTGATCTGCATTTGAGTATGTTTTAAACACAAACTATTCACTGAATCGTGGTCTCTAGTGTTTTTCTTCTATATAAATGTTACACTACTAGTCTATACTTACTGAGCTCGTTGTATTTCTTAACTTTTTATGCTTAATTTTAAGCAAACTGTTACATTGTCTAATTCGGATGCAATATAAAAGTATCTGCTCTGTAGGAGTTCAGAGTTTATTCCGAAAAATGAGTTGGTTCTGATTGTTACCGCCAGACAAGAGCTTGGATTTCTTTGCCTTATTTAAGAAAAATCAAATCTCTTCAAGTTGGTATTCTAGAATTAAATTCTCAATTTATGCATTGTGATACAATGTATTTAAAATATTATCTACCAAGCTTCTAGGCATCTTTCTGATATTAATTTAAAAATAAGTTTCAAATAGGACTATATTGAAGCTAAATGTTTTTGAATCCAGAATGTAATCGTTAGCTAGCTGTACAACAGGAAGGCAGTAAGAAGGGCCCTTCAACAATTACCCGAATCCTTCTGATGTATTTGCTTGCAATACAGGCTTTAGTGTCTGAAGAGATCGGAACTTTTTTATGCCAAATAGGATGTGAATTCCAAAACCTTGTTTTCTGTTTTGACAAAAAATTCATATTGAATGATATTATTAGGGTATCCTTTGCATGAGGAAGTAGTGGGTATTCCTCACGGTTTACTTACAGCTGCTAAAAGTGCCTTTGAGTGTTAGTTTACCTCCCATTTACTCAAAACTAGCAAAGAGAGTCTCTACTAATGACTAGTGCAAACTAGCAATTGTGGGTTTAGTTCAAACGCTGTACTTTATTTCTCAGTGTCTCCCATGGCCCTTAACTGTTTTGTTTTGCTGCTTCTAGACTGGTGTGGTGCTAGAGACTCTGCCTCGCTTCTTCAACTTGCTTTCTCATTAACAATAATACAATAACATAATAGGATTATGGCAAAATTTTAATAGGTAGATAACAAATTATTTCTTCTATCGTTCAGACAATTCTTTAGCAGCCTGGAGCGGAAAAGGGATTTGTATTTTAACTTTCTTCTGAACTTGGTGATTAATGGTGAGAAAAAGTATTAATTTTTATGCAGGCATCTTCAGTCTGGATGGTTTGAAAACTTATGTGAGAACAACCTCTTTCCTAGATATTGTAGCTAATTAAGCTTTTCAGTTGATAAAGGAGAAATAGTTTGGAAGAACTCCATAATACTGAATACCGTCACTGTTATAATGAAGGCCAGATGATGTATTTACCACCTGTATGTTCCACACACCTCACAAATGTGAAAAACTGCATTAAAAATATATTAACTAGAATAGACATAAAGGGCAGGAAGGTACGCAGATAGTAAGAATGTAATACTTAAAGTGATAATTGATACGTAAGCTTCAAGATTTTTGCTGAAATTAATGGATTGTATTAATTAGAATTTTCTAATGGCTTTCTTCTTCCCTAGGCACGAGCTTTAACACCTCAGACAGCAGAAACGGATGCAATAAGATTTTTGGTTGGAACACAGTCTCTTAGATATGATAATCAGGTAATTTTTCTGTCAAACTCCAGTTGTAATTTTTTTCCTCTTTTTTAAAAAAATTATTCCAATATCATTCCTCCTGCTTTCTACACCCTGTTGAATTTGAACATTAAGCAATAGTCAAGGTGAAGACTTCTGTGAGTAGAATCTAAAGATATTGGTATGACTAAATCAGATTGCTTTAGTAAAGGAACTGCCTTGTTTTTGTTAATTTAAATCTATAGAATCTCTGGAGGTATCTTTAAACCACAGAAGAGATGCAAAGTAAAACAAAAGTCTTTAAGTCTTGATTGCCTCTAATAGGACTCCTGGTACATGCATGGTTCTGTTTGTGTGAAGCTTCATAAACTGGATTTTTTTGTTATTAATTATTGGCAGTCAGCTATATCCTTTCTGATCATAAGTTTAACAACAACTTAAAATTTGACTGACTTTCACATCTCCATTTCTATTGGGCTGTTTCTTCAGCAGTTAAGAGTACACCACTTCTAATTGTATGGCAATTTTACTTTTTGTGACTAAATTTCAGTGAATGCATTCATACTGAAAGAAGATTCTAAGGCCAGAAGAATTAGAAAGCTGTACTGAGTGCAGGTGGCAAGGCTTTAGCAGCAGGGGGGCTGCAGTGGTGGCCTTTGTGAGAAGAGACCAGGGGTCACCCATGGAAGATGTGGCTGGTTCCAGTGAACCCACCACAGGACACTGCTGAGCCTGTCAGCTGGGGCACCTATGTGAAAACATTTAAGAAAGGGGAGAAAATGCTGGATGAAAGAGAGGAGGGAATGAAGACTGAGAAACAGTGGGAGAAACGACAGAGGTAAGAAGACCAAGATCAGGATGAATAGAAGGTGCTTCATGGTGGAGCAGGTATCCACTGGAGTGGATGGTTGTTCCTGAAGGAGCCATGGCCCATAAAAACCCCACACTGGAGCAGAGGAAAAGAGTGAGATGGTTAGAGCATCAGAGAGAAAATGCTTTGTGCTGAACATGCATACCATACCACTGCCCCACACCCCTGTGCTCCTTGGAGGGGCTTAAAGGAGTTGGGAGGAGTAAAAGTTAAGCCTGGAAAAGGGGGAAGAGAAGGTGCTGGGTCTGTTTTGCCCACAACAGTAACTGATAAGTGGTCTCTCTGTCTTTAGCTTGGCCCATGAATTTTCTCATTCCTAATCCTCTGTTTTCTCTGCCTGTCCTGCTTGTGGGGAGCAAGTGGCTGGGTGTGAGTCTGGCTGTTAGCCATGTTTAACACCCACCACAGAACTAAAATGGATGCAGTCACCAGCTCTTCTGAAACTGGTCTGTAAGGGACTGCTCTAAAGGAACTTGGAACCATAGCTCTGGGACATGTGAGCTGTCAATTTCCAGTGTGGTTTTGAGTTTGTTACTCAATAGTAATACTGGATGAGGCTCAAGGGAAAAAATATTCAAAGACAAAAGGGGGCTGGAGTATTTGGTTTCTTCACATTTCAGGTAATACTCGTGAGAGTGGTAACAAAAGAAGTGACAGACAAAATTAGTTAAAAATAAATCCATGCAACTATATTTCTGATTGTGCTGTCTCAGATGTTCTTCAGACACTTGGCTATGATGTGGTTTTCTACTGTGATTTCTACATGGTTTTTTTTACTTCTTGGTTCAACTAATTAAATCCTGATACAAAATTGTAGTTGGAGAATGATTCTCATTTATAAGTTGATATCCAGCAGATCTTCAATAATTTAAATGTTCTGATTTAGGTAGGTTGATTGGGCATATACTACCCATTTTAGAAATATTTACACATATTTCAACTTCATTGAATATACTTTTATTTTTCCAATGAATAACATTAATAATAGAAATGCAGGACACTTGCTAGGGTATTAACAAATGTTTGGGGGTTATTGGCCTTTAGCTGTGCCTCAGGCCATCAGCTCCTCTCAGCTAGTTGCTAATCCCCAAAAAGTGCCCTAGGCCTGAAGTCATTATTGCTTAATTCAGCACTAAGTTCTCTAGATTTACTTAAAAACTTTTTTAGTTACCTAACCTAAGTTTAGTTACTAACCTAACTCTTGAGCTGGCTTGCAACCTCTAATGCTTGACCAAATACTGGACAGTGAGAGGTTTCTTACTCAGTACCATCATGTGCAGAATGCACACTTGCACTACACCTGGTCATGGGTAGATGTAGAACAAATTTAAGAGCAGTAGTTGTACAGCTGGTATAGTAAATTGTGCCTCATTGAGGTTTATTGCTGTGTGAAGCAATTTAGGCATTCATAGAAGACCCAGTGAAAATATTTGCCTATTAACACTGGAATTTCAAAGCAAATGAAAATGTTTATAAGATTTTTATATTCTATCAATATTTGAGATATTAACAGTGCTTGGCATTTGGTCCTCATAACTTGCTGGAAATTGTTTCTCTTTGATGCATTGTGTTCTACACTGTGTATTTTTGGAACTTATGTTCTCAATACATTCATTGTTGCTAAACTGGCTTTCTATAGCATTCTTAGTTTGATACGTTTACTCTATGCTTTGGAAACATATAAAGGAAGTATATGTCACATTCTCTTATCTCTCTCGTTCTCAGAACTCTCCAAGTTATTTTCAGTCTTGTGTTTTAGACCATAAAATACTTATTTTCATGGTTTACTTTAATGCATAGCATTATATAGGCACAAAGCAGGGCACTGGCCAAACTGAAACAATTCTCCCATCTCTGCTGCACGTGAGTGCCTGCTGAAAGAAAATCAGTTACGGAGATTACGTATTTGAAGAAAAAGATATTTTGTGTTGAAATTGGTTAGTTTTAATCTCTGTTTTTAGTAATTTCCTTAGCAATTAGTAATTCCTCCAGATTTTGAGGAGAACTAAATAGTTTTTTGTTCTCATTCAAATCTCACTACTTTTTCCTCGGTACTTAGACTTGTGTTCTGTGTGAATTTTTCCCGCTGTAATTAGAGCAGATTAGTAACTCATTTGTTTAGTTACTGGTAATAAAGCAAGTAATTTCTAAGAGGTGTTTTCCACAAGGATAATGTTCCACAAGTTATGATTACATGTATCGTCAACCATTACAGTACAGCCATGCTGAGAAAGTTCTCTGTGTGGACTTAATTTACTTATACTTACCTTTTTCCATATCCTCATCTATGGTGTCCATATGCTGCACTAATTAGTCCTTTATAAAGCTAATTTCTATGCTCCATCAGGAAAAGATAGGTCATGATTGAAGAATTGATTGATAACGCCATGCAGAACTGAAGTTTTGTTCAGTGTGTTGGGTTTGTGTGTGTGATCGGGCTTTTGGTAGCAGGGGAGGGGTCTACAGAGGTGGTGCCTGTGAGAAACTTCTCTAAGCTTCCCTGGCTCCAGCAAGTTGGACCCTCCTCTGGCCAAGGCTGAGATTTAGTGATGGTGGCTGTGCCTCTGTGATAACATATTTAAGAAGGGGAACCTGAGAGGAGGGCTTGGAGTTGTGAGGGAAACACCTGTGCAAACACTGAAGTCAGTGGAAGAAAGGAGGAGGAAGAGGGGGAGGTGTATCAGAGCAGAGATTCCCCTGCAGCCTGTGGTGAGTGGGCAGGCTGTGCCCCCACAGCCCATGGAGGTCCACGGTGGAGCAGATCTCCACCTGCAGCCCACGGAGGACCCCACACTGAATCAGTTGTCTGTACCCAAAGAAGGCTGGGACTCTGAGGGAAGCCCTTGCTGTTGTAATTCATCGTTGGGAAGATGGTAGCCTGTGGGAAGGACCCACACTGGAGCAATTTGGGAAGAGCTGCAGCCTGAAGGATGGATCCACGCTGGAGCAGGGGAAGAGTGCGAGGAGTCCTCCCCCTGAGGAGGAAGAAGTGGTAGAAACAATGGATAACCTCAAACCCCATTCTGTCTGCCCCCTGCGCTGCAGAGTGGCAGGAGGTAGAGAAATAAGGAGCATAGCTGAGCCTGAGAAGAAGGGAGGGGTGGGGGGAAGGGTTTTTTAACATGTGGTTTTATTTCTCACTGTCTTACTCTAATTGGAAAATTAAGTGTTGGTGGTGTTTGTATTAAATGATGCTCTTTTTCATCCCCTAATGAGTCTGTCTTTTGCCCATGACAATAACGGGTGAGTCATCTTTCCTTGTCCTTATCTCGATTCCTGAGCCTTTTGCTTTATTGTCTCCTTCCCATTCCTGAGGGGGAAGGAATGATCAAGCAGCTGTGTGGTGCTGAGTTTCCCACTGGGATCAAACCACAATATTCAGTTCTGTTAGACAGTTATTATAGACGAATATGTTTTTCTGCGAATACTTGTCTTGATGGCATCACACCAGTACAGTATTTGGTACTAGTATATTTTGTATGAAAATTCTTTTGTCCTTAGTATTTAGTAAAGTCACTATTCCATATGATAAAAACAATTTATGATGTATTCAAATTGACACAATGAAGAAGATTCTTAGCAGAAAAACATTGGGGGAACTTTTGCTGTTCTTTCTGTTAAGCTGATCGACTTGTGGTAGAATCTGTTGTTTGGCATAGCTGTGAAATGTCATTTTTCAGCTCAAAAGGGTATAAACAATACCCGTGCATAAGAATTAAATTTCTTGTTTCCTAAAAGTCTGTCTGGACCTTGTAATCAGTTAACTGTGTGTTCCAGCAGTTTCTAGCTATCTATGATGTCAGCTGAAGCAGAAACACAACAGCAGAGAAGAAATTGGTTATCTGTGCCTTCAAAGGGCTTCAGATAGGGTAAAGAACACACCTGTAGCTTATGTGCCAAGTGACCCTATTAACTTGGTTAGTACAGGTAGAGGGTGTGTGTGACTATAGTAAATAGTATTTAGATTTGAAGTTCATCTTCAGGGACTTGTGTTGAGCTGCCAAAGGAGACTCCAGTGACTCCAGTGGAAGAATGGAAGATTGCCTTCCCTTTCTTTTCCTTTTTCCTTTTTTTTCTTTTTGGTGGATGGGGGGAGGTGATAGCTGAAAACAAGCACAATATGATGACTTATATGGGAAACTCAGGTAACTTTTAATCTTTAAACTGTGACAGATCTTCCCATCTTTCATGCTGTTTTTCTGTTAAATACTTGTTTCAGTAAACTAAGAGATCACCTTCTCTCTGTATCAATAGCCAGTTAACAATATTTTGCTGTGTAACAATAACAACAGGAGTTACTCTTCTTGCCCTGAGTATGTTGAAGATGTTTTAGCTTACAGTTGTGAATATGTTGGTATTCTTTATCTCCCACTTCTGTGCTTGTAAAGTAGGTGTTTGACTTGTTAACAGTTTGAGTAGTAAGTTTATCCGGTACATCAAAAAGTATCTGATAAGAGCATTGTAGAAGGTTGAATAGTTGATGTCTTCCAATTCTTATTTAAAAAAAAAACAAAACTAAAAAACAAGGGATGAGGTTAAACTGATCTTTAATGATGAAATGAGCAAGACCTTTCTGTATAGACACAAGCTCTTCAGTCAGGATCTAGCAAATAGATCAGAAAGGGCATGTACAGAAAGCCAAAATAAAACAAAATGATAGATAAGTCGAAGTGATATTACTCCGAAGAGTTTTGAAAGGCAGGAGGGTCACTCTTCAAGTTGGACAGGAAGATGGATATGCAGTTATTGGGGGTAGATGGATAATGCCTGGATTCTGGAGATGGATAGTGTCCTGATTCCTAGGTAGATTTCTGGGTTCAGGGCAAGAAATTAAGTTTGATAAGAGAACTTGCTAATAGACTGCAGAGGTGCTTATATGCCTTGGATTTTAGAATGGAAGAATGATACAGGATCCAGCATTATATATAAAGGAGGAGTTGCTGATAACAGTGTTTGGATGAAAAAGAAAAAGATAACATGTAAGCTCAGCCCTTTAAAAAAACCCACCCTAAATTGGTAATATTATACACTAACTTGAGACTTGTTTAGTAGCTTCTGTATTTTAAGAAAATGTTCTGTAATACTGTGTAGCTAAGGTTTTTTCAGTAATTCAGTAGTTCAGTAGCCTTAATTCAGTAATTATGATAGGATGGTTCTTGGTTTTTTCTCTTCATTGTTCACCTGACTATGCTAATGAATTTTTAATGTGGATACAGTTCTCTAAAAATTGTGTCTTCTAGGATTTATTTGTTCACTGTTGAGCTTAGTGAAATTAGTCCTGTGAGTAAAGTTACTTGTGTTTGTTGTGCTAGGTTAAGATCTTTCTGAATTTCTTCTATTTCTGAGGCAACTATAGAAAAACAGCTAAGTAAAAATAGGGAGGGAGAATGACAGTAATGTAGACATATTTTAAAAAAACAACCAATGACAACAAAAAACAAAACCAAACCAAAACCCCCAACAAACCACCAAAAAACCACTGCAAGAAACAAAAATCAAAGTCACAAAAAGCAAACCTAGCTGTATGTATTTTAAAAGTCTTATGTATATATTTTGTTGTTTTTCTTCATCTTTCAGTTCAATGTTTTATTTTTCTATATAGTATAAAAAGTATTACAGATTTATGTACTGGTGCAGATACGTGATTGCTGAAGTGAACTCTCAAAAAAGTTTCTTACTATGTTTACAGTATTTGTTTCAAGTGAGAGTCCTTTCACTCTTCTCCCCTTCTTTCTTCATAGGATGTTTGCATTTGATGATTTGGATACAGAATTGGTGCAGACATTCAGACTAAGGATTGTAATGTTGTTATTTCTGTTTATCACTGTAGTGTTGAATTGCAATTTCGGGTGGCTTCTTTACTATTGGCCATAAAATGAAAAATCATCTTCACACCTTAAGTTGAAAAATTGATAAGAATAAACATGGCATTGCCTCAAAACAGGAAAATTGCTTGTGTTTTTCTAGATAAGTATATTCTTCACTTCATGAAGGATATACTAAATTTGTTAATCTAACAATTAATTAAAGTAGATATCTGTTATAAAATTCTCATTAAATTGTTCTGTGTAGTCATTGTGTATAATTAAGACCCACAGGAAAACATTTGAAACCCTAATGTTCTCTTTCATTGTATTTGCAGATTCACATCATAGATTTTGATGATGAAAATAACATTATAAACAAAAATGTTCTCCTTCATCAAGTGGGTGAAATTTGGCACATCTGTACCAGTCCTGCAGATAAAGGTGTACTAGCAACCTGTTACAATAAAAGTAAGTCTTTTCTAACCATGTTAAACTTAAGTGGTTTTATGTTTTTGAATGTGCAAAGATTGAATATCTAGTTATGTGTAAACACTTTAAATTGGAATTATCAAGGTAGGTGTTTTTAAAAACATCTGCTGTACCTTTACCTATACCTCATTTGTCTCATATTCTTAGGTCATCTTGTTTAGAAGTTCACTTCTGCATTCATGTCAAGGAAAGCAGCATAGTAAAAGTATTGTTTGCCTGATTAATGCAAAGTATGGCAAATAATACTGTTATTTTAGGTGTCGTTCTTTTTGTTGTTTTATATGTTTGCTTTTGAAAGTGGAAATAAATGTCTTTCAAAACAACATCATACCAGCATCAAACTCTACTTAAAATTGCAGGTGAAGTGTGTATATAATGTTGTTTCTTGTATGTTAAATGCAGATATGCCCACAGAGAACTATAAATTCTTATCTAAATATCTCATCAGAAACAGTAGGAATGCTCCTTGTGTAACCCAACTAAGTGCACAGCTGTTGAGATTAAGGATCTCTGTGCATTTCCTAGATGAGGCAGGTGTGAAGATTTTCTGTCATGAGGCTTGAAAAATCTACTTGCATCGCTTGAGGAAAGGAGTACTTTTTCTTTCTGAAAAGCAAGAAATTTGTGCTGTCAATTGGAATAAATATTATTTGTTATAGTAAACATTAATCCATTCTTTCATGGAAATACCGTCCAAGAATATAAGAACAAGGTATTAAGAAGCATTTCTTTACAGAACAGGTTGTTAGGTGTTGGAATGGGCTGCCCAGGGCAGTGGTGGAGTCCCCATCCCTGGAGGTGTTCAAGAGTAAGGTTGACATAGCGCTGAGCAATCTGGTGTAGTTGGGAACTGTCAGTGTTAGGTCAATGGTTGGACTGGGTGATCTTCAAGGTCTTCTCCAACCTAGACAATTCTGTGATTCTGTGAAGGTAGTGAGTTTCAGGGTTTCTGCATCTGAACTGCTATGGAGATGCAAATTCCTGCTGCTCAACCATGTGGCTGTGTTAGAGAGAAGGTTCCAGGATTGCTTTGTTCTTGTAGTTACTTTGGATTGAAATAAGCACTAAAATTTGAGTTTCGTTCACAAATCTTATGTTAATCTTTCGACAATTATAGAAGATAATTAGGGTAATAGAGAGCTTTTTCTGTTTTCTAAATTGAAAAAAGATTGTGGGCATTTTGAGCGAGCTTGACATAGTACTGACCTGTTTTTTGATTACTCTTTACTCTCTGGTTGACTTACTGGACATAACTTCCTCACCTTGCCAGTGATTCATAGAGAAGATGAGAAAGAGGTAATCTGGCCTGAAACTCTAAAGTTGTTTTAGTAATTTTTTGGGGTAGTTTCAGAGAAGAATCTGAGAAAGTTGTCTGAAGTCTCCTTTAAAGAAAACAAAACCGAGTTTCTAAGTTTCTTTAGTCTTTTTGAGTGGATTGTATTTTTTTTTTTTTTTCTTAAAGAGAATTGCGTTGGAATAGTGTGAAACATTTTAAAGAATTTATGTATCTCTTCCCTACATAAATGAACACCAAGATGATATGAGATGGCTTATGAAGTCCAGTTTTCATGTATGTAATGTACCATTTAATGTTAACCAGTCTTAATTTATTCAATTTGTATCTATTTTTGAGCTCAAGTATTGTTCTAGAGAGTATAGTGAGCAAAGAATATAAAATTATTTGTTTTTAGGAAGGCCTATATTTCAGTTTGCTATTATTTATAGCATGTTATAGCAATATGCATGTTAATTGAAAATTCTCTTTGGGAGAGAACTGAGATTGCTAGAGCTGAGCTTCTATCCACTCTTAAGTTTCTGTGAGATTTCTGATTTCCATTATTGGACTTATTAATTCATATGAATGTTTTCTATTCTAGCTTATTTGTGTTCTAGATTTAGTTTATCTAGTTTCTGAACATTAAGCTTTATTATTTGTTCTTCATGCATCTTTATTTAGAATAATCAGACATAAACTTTTGCAGAAAACAAGATCTGATTCTTAAATGATTACTGACACATCTAAATAGAAATGTATAGAAGAAAGCACACTGCATGGAGTTCTAATAAGGAATACTGAGTTTGACAACTTATTTTAAGTACTAATGCAACCAAATTAAACAATTGAAACCTTTAAAACAGGTTTATGTATTGCAATTTTTTTCTTATTTTTAAAAAGACTCTTGACTGTTTCCTAATTGAAGTACCAGTCAAATGAGACAATGCTGTCTGGAACAGTTGTTGGTATTGTGACCATCTCTTGTGTCTGAGCCCAGTACTTCTGGCAAATCTTGACTGTTGTTGAAACTGGGAGACAGAAGAAATGTGGTGTGTATCCATCAGTAATACCTATTTTTTGATGTGGCTTAAATAAGTGGAGCAATGTGGTATTCAAGAAAGGTGGAATTGTATATTTTGCATTTCATAGCTCACTGAAGTAAGCTAATGGAATAGGTTGGTGCACTCATGAAAAAAATGTTGCAATTTCCTCTTTTATATTGGGAGAGATACTGAGTTTTCTTTTGCTTTATCACACTTATAGATAGTTAACATAACCAACATATGAGCGACATTACTTCATGAAAGAAAGATGTAGTAGGTGCAAACAGAAGAGCACTTTTTTTTTCCACGGCTCTTTGCTTTTTATCTAAGAGGAGAAGTATGCCTTTCATATAGGAAATTTGCAGAGTATAATAATGATTGAACTGAAAGAGTAATGATGTGTACCTGCTTTGGAGAGAGATTTTTGTGTCTTGAGTAACTTTTTAAAAGCACTTTGCAGCTAGTAATAGAGAAAAATCTTGATTCCTGAATATTTCGTTTGTTTTAGTTTCAGTCATCTGGATTTGCTGTTTTTCAGGCCACAGATTAATTCTTTTTCTAGAGCTGACTTATGCAGGATAAAAGATTTATTTTTAAACAGACTTTCCCTATATATTAGCTACTTTTCCTATTTTTAATCAAACAATTTTAAAAAAAATGCATTAAAAGAAAATCTTTGTGCAGTATCCAGTTATTATCCCCTGTAATATTACTGAGACGTTAAAACTTTTTTTTAAATTAACTACTTGACAGGTAATACTACTGCCTCAAAGTCAAAGATGACACTAGCAGTCTCGCTGTATGCTTTGAAAAACAAGGGAACTGATGTTATTTGCTTCTCTCGAAGGGATAAAATGTATCAAAATGATGTAACATGCAAAGGTTTTTGATAATTTTTGTTGAGTGCTAAGATTGCATGAGGGAAACAGGTACTTGTATTCAGCAGGTAGAAGGAGGTTATTTTACACAATTTACAGAATCATCTAGGTTGGAAAAGACCTTGAAGATCATCCAGTCCAACCATTAACCTAACATTGATAGTTTCCAACTACACCAGATCCCTCAGTGCTATGTTGACTCTACTCTCAAACACCTCCAGGGATGGGGACTCCACCACCTCCCTGGGCAGCCCATTCCAACACCTAACAAGCCCTTCTGGAAAGAAATGCTTCTATTTGTGGGGTCAAGAATCAAATGGAAAGTTGTAAGCGCTCTGTGTGTTTTGAAAAAGATGCTGATGTAATAATGTTTGGAAATCTCTACTGCTAGTGGAGAGAGGCCTTGAATTGATGTAACAAGGCTCTTAATCAAAAGTTGAAAGATGCTCTTAGATGGAGAAGTTCCTATGGTTTTGGTTTAGTGATTTTTTTTAATTTTTTTTTTTTTCCTTCAAAAAAGGCGTTTTAGCTACCTCTAAGCATGATGGTGTGGGATTTTACAGATCTGAAGCTTTTTTCGTATGTGTGGATATGTATATATGTATGGGTTCTTTTTCCCTGATGTATATACAGCATCTGCTTCCAGTCATATTTATAAGGCCGTTTGTCCTCTGAATCATACAGGTAGGAAACATCTTTCAAAAGGAGTGATGCTACCGTAGAAGCAATCTGCCCCTGTCACTCTCGGGGGGATTTACAGTTTGTTTCCCCCCCACCCACGCCCTCCATCCTGCTTCATGGATATGTGAAATCTTTTTAATTGTCCTTGACAAGTATAAATGAAAGAGGCATAAGGAAGTAGAAGTTCAAATGTAGATTATTATTATTGGTATACCTACTGAAAAGCTATGTCATTTGTTCATGACTCATAATAGCTAGGCTTCCATGTCAGTGAAAATTAATTTCCTTGTTGTCCACAGGATTTTTATTATGTGCTGACTTCTGATAAATTCAAGGATTTTTTACCTATAAATGGTTAAACTTGCAAGTGACCCCAATTCAGTCGTTGTTTTGAGATGAGCTTTTATTTTTGAGAAACTCTCATCAAGATCTGTCAAAAGTGTCAAATACAGCATATTACAACAATTGGAGGCAGACTCTCCAATCTTATTTTTGGCAGACAGGTCAAATAAGAGTTACTGCCTATTTACATAAAGCCCATCAGAATATTTACTACGTACTGGCATGTTGATTTTGCAATCCTTTTAAATTCTTATCCTTTCAAGAAAAGTAATTTTTCCTAAAAGGTAAAGTAAGGTCGCATAGATAACTTCCTTGTTCTCAAGAAGTCACAGAGAAATTTAAATCCTTGCTAAATGTGCAGTTTGGGACCTACGTTTTCTAAACAATGTATGAAGTTAATTTAAATGCTGCTCTGTATTCTTTTGTTCAAGATATTTTATTAAGGTATCATTATATACTGATTATCAGGGTAATCTTTGCCTGTATAGAATTAAAACTTTAATGGACATAACTATCATTTTAGTGGAAAACCTACAGAGCTGGGGGCGGGGGGAAAGGAATGACACAATGATCTCTTGTTTGTTAGTGTGAACTATTTTTGGTACGGAGTGAATGGGTGAGATGCAGCAAGGCATTTTACCTTCATGCCACTGTTTCCATGAGAGTTAACTTGAAGTATATAAGGAACTACCTTTACCTTTTCCTTCCAAATGGAATAGTGCCAGCCTGTTGATCACACCAATGATTTGTTCATCTGTA